TCCGCCTCGCCAAAAATTTCGTTCTTCACCACCTCCGCTATACCCATCCTTTCCTCTCCCCATACATCCTTTCCCCATCGATCCTCTCCCCATCCCTCCTCTCGCCATCCCTCCTCTTCCAAACCCATCATTTTTTGTTCCCTCCTCTCCCCGCCCCTTTCATCCATGTCTTCCATCTAGCTTACCTCACCTCCCTCTGTTCCTCCCTGCCACCCTTTCTCCTCCCCACCTTCCTCCCCAACCTCTCTTCCTCCCCCCCGTTCTGTTTCTCCCCCTCACGTCCTCCCTACCTCCCTTCCTCCCATCATCACTTCCTCCCTTCCTTCATTCCTGCATTCCTCGCTTCCTCCCGTCCTCCGTTCCTCCCTTCCTCATTTGCCAGTTGTCATTCTTTTGCATTCTTGCTTCCCTTCTACTTCAGCCACGTCACATCTGACTTCCTGGTTTGTGTTTGTACAGGTCTGCTCTGCATCTGGTTGTGATGTGTTGGATGTTTGATAGTTACACGACGTATAGCCATGCCATGTATTGGATCTTTTTTTATAATACAACATTATGAGCTTCAGAGCAGTCATACAGGAGGGGGCCTTAGAGCGAGCACGGGAAAACCAAATGAGCAGGGGGGAAAGAAAGAAAGCAGGGGGAAACAGAGCGAGCAGGGAGGAAGAGAGTGAGAAGGGCGAAACAGAGGGAGCAATGGTGAAACAGAGTGAGCAAGAAGGAAACAGAGTGAGGAGGGAGGAAGAGATTGAGCAGGAGGGAAGAGAATGAGAAGGGGGGAAGAGAGTGAGCAAAAAGAGTGAGCAGGGGGGAAGAGAGTGAGAAGGGGTAAAGAGGGTGAACAGGGTAACGAGGGTGGTAAGGGGGGAAAAGGGGTGAGTGAAGGGAGAAAGAGGGCTTCGTTGGGGGGAGAAGGTGAAATGAACGAATGGGATGGTGAAAGGGAGTAATGAAAGGGTGAAAAGGGAGTTGATTAGGCTGGGAGGCTGGTAGGATGGGAGGAAGGAAGGAAGAGGTAAAAGGAGAGTAGTTTTTTTTTGCAAGGGGTGAGAGTGAAGCTTAGGGTGAGGAAATGAAAGAGGTGGTGAATACGGGCACTGGGAAGGGTAGAGAAGGCGGCTTGGCGGGAGAAGAGGGTGACGGCGCGAGGGAGGGGAATAGGCATGGATGGCTGGGGAAAGACGCGAGGGCGAAGAAGAGGGGAAGCTCGACAAAGAGTCAGCGGCGGGAATGAGAAGCGACAGGTGGGATGTAACACCCAAGGCTGATCCGTCAGTGGAAGTAAGGATCTTCAAGAACCACGCCCTGGTGCTCTTGAACAAATTACCAGAACAACAACCAAGTGCGGACCCTCACATACGCACGGTCTGTCCTGAAGCGGCTTTTTTTTTTTTTTTTTTTAAGATATCGTATACATTACATGAATGCAAAGACATCGGTAGTCGTAACTGTTTTAGGGAGGGGAGCTCCACAATAGCAAGTATCGCAGATCTGCTCTGGAGCAGCTATGGCGCTTGATGTGTCATCCTCGGGTTGACCCAAATTGAGCTGAAGCTAATCTTCCACGCCAGCGTCGTCTGTTGCAGATTCGCCTCATCACCGTCGCCTCATCTGTTGCCAGGTGCGCCTAGTCATCTCCACTCAACATCCGGCCCTTCTTCCGCGCGGTCACCTCCCGCGCCAAGCAGTACACCCTTGCATGCGCGACAAAATTTATCACCACCTGCCAAACCACTCTTTCGGTTTGGAAAGCATCATTTCTCCATATCGTGTTACACCTCGCCAGCCACACTTGGTGCCATACAATTGCGATCCAGGTTCCCTCCGAAAAAATCCGATTTCGTGCTCCTCTACATGAAGAGCAGATCCTCGAGGTTCTGCCACACCAGCCCCGGATTTATTGCTGCTAACCCCCTTCTCAGAAGTTCCACCACCTCCTGTACCGCCGGGCAACCAAGAAGGCAATGTTCTGGGGTTTCTTCTCCCTGGCAGTGCGGGCAGACCACTCTTCCTCCCATAAAGAACAGACTTGAGCCCACTTGCAGGTTCCGGCAGTGCAGCCGCAAAAGAATTTCACGTGCCCGCCGTGGGGTAGCTATTGCATCCCTCTGCTGCTGAAGCGACACTAACTTACCCCCCATTCTTTGAACAATCTCCCGGACCATTGCGTTACGAGCAAGTAACAGCTAACGAAATCAACAACAGACACTACACAATGACCTTCATCAACGCGAGTTCACACCAGGGCCTCAGATTTCAGCGAAAAAAAGCTGTTTTATGTTAAAAAAAAGGCCGAGATTTCACATTTTGTTTAGAACAAGGGCTGATTTTCCAGCGTTCGTTTGGAAAAAATACACGGAATTTTATGAGATTCTTAGTATAAAATAGCATAATATGGCTGGTTTGTTTGATTTTCAATTTTTTTTTTTGGTACCTGCTATGATATTTTAGACTAGCCCAAAACCAATCTGAGGCCGTGGTTCACGCTTCGTTTGGGAAGTAAACGTTGACGGATGTTAGAAAGCATTCAACTGCTTCTATGTCTGGATGAAATTAGTTGAGCGACAATCGGGACTGAAGCTGAAAACCTTCCAATGCAATGTGGCGCTTGAATATAAGTCAGAGGGATTTTGCACCTACCGTCATCACCCGGATATACCCCCAGGAGGGCTTATAAAAAACAAGGAAAAAAAGGTTGGGTGGGCTTATAATAGGGTTTTTTTATAAGCCCATGGGCTACTGAAATGGCACTTATAGAATTTTGTTTTTAAAACACTGAAATGTAGATTTAACCCTTGCGGGTTCAATCGATGCTAACACAAAGTGGGTCGCTGCTGAAACTTTCCGAGAATGCATCATATTGGCAATAATCCCTGTCAGCACCTGCTAAACTGCTGCTTTTTTTGTCGTACGTGCGCTCCCTTGACAATTTTTCTAAGCGAATCAGGGGGGATTTTGCCAGGCACGTCAGTGGCGATTGCTTTAGGCGCGTTAGTGGCAAATTCACTATAAACAAAACGCTAACATTCAATGGGTGCACTTGTACGAAGATTGACAGAATTTGGGGTGGGGTTATAAATTGGCAACCGTCTATAAGCCCACTAGTCCGATTATAAACCCATGGGTATAACATAGGCCTGGGGGTATAACCTGTTAGAATACTAGGAATGATGCATTAGGTGAAGGGAGGGGGGTACAAGAAAGATGTCGAGAAAGTTGTTGTACCCCCTAAAGGCTGATCCCACTACAGCCTAAATATAAATAACTAAATATGTTTTCACACACCCCCATAGGCAAAGTGGGGGATAGCCAGAGAAAGCAATGGTCACAAAACGAGTCAAGAGAAACAACAAAACAAAGCTCAGGGTGGATCAAAAAATCACCACACAGTCCGAGCACAAGCAAGTGGCCACAAGGCCAGTTCACATGCAGAGTTATTAAGATAACATGCTGTACAGTGATCACAACCAAGCAAGTGTAAGCATGCAGGCATCTATATAGTTCACAGTACAAAGCAAAGTCAAGAGGTAAGCAAATGAGGCAGAGTAGGCACAAGGCCCAGAGCAGTGCAGAAACTCTGATGATCACTAGACCCTAGAGCCTTGGTGAAGATATCAGCAGTGTTGGCCTGTAAGGCCACGTAAGCAAGGCGAAGCATACCGCGCTGCTGCAACTCCCGAGCAAGGAAGTAACAGAGAGCGATGTGCTTCATTCTGTGCTCCAGTCTCTGCTCCTGACACAAGGCAATCATGGCCTTGTTGTCGACGTACAGGACCGGAGGAGAACGAGGCCGCTCACCCAAGTCGGTCAGCAAGCAGGTCACCCAGCATAACTCCTGTGCAGCCATGGCCCCCGCGTAGATCTCAGCCTCACAACTGGAGCTGAGAACAGAAGATGAGCGGGGTGAACCTCCAGGAGACACAACCAGTGCCGAGACTGAAAGTGTAACCATGTGACGACCGCTGAGTCGCCTGGTCGTCAGCCCAAGAAGCGTCTGAGTGCCCAGTGAGCACAACTGGACCCCGTCCTCCAAGCACAAGCCCCATGCCTGATGTACTGCACAAGTAACGCAGTACCCTCTGCGCAGTTGTCCAGTGCTCCTTCCGTTGTCTACCAGGAGCAACGAAACGAGTCAGGATGCTGAGAGGGTACGCGAGGTCAGGTCGAGTGCAAGTCATCAGGTACATGAGGCAACCCACAAGCTCTGGATATGGACCACTCGGCTCTATGGACTGGTCTGAAGGCGGACCTGAGAGCGAGTGTCTCGTAGGTAGAGGAGTGGGCTGTGGCGAGGAGAACTGAAAGCCGAAGCGCTGAAGGACCTGCTGCACCATGTGTGACAGAGTCAGGGTGATGGTGCGCCGTGCTCTGTCCCAGGTGATCTGCAAGCCAAGATAGTTGCGCAGCTCACCCAGGTCAGTGCAAGTGTGTCTCTTCTGCAGCTCCGCCTTCACAAGGGCCAGTGCCTCAGTGTCAGCAGTAGCAAAAACCAAGTCGTCGACGTACACGAGAATGTAGAACGGCGGCAGCGAAGTGTCGGTGCGTAGAAACAGCGACGGGTTAGCAGTGGAAGGAGCAAACCCAAGAGCCGCAAGTGTAGTCCTCAGTGTGTCGTGCCACTCCCGGGGCGCCTAGCGGAGACCGTAGACTGGCCGCCGGAGGCTCCACTGGGTACCATCGGGAAACGACCCCGTGAAGCCAGGTGGGCGACGCAGCCAGATCTCCTCGTGCAGGCTGCCCTTCAGGAAGGCTGTAGAGAAGTCAAGCGAATGGAGCTCGTAGTCACGCTGTGCACTCCTCTCGGACGCCGGCCCTCGACTCCATCATGACAGAACGCATCCTCTCAGAGGCCAAGTGGTGCCGCTTCCAGGAGATGAGGTTGCCACCAAGAGAGAACACCCGCTCACTCGTAGCGGACGTGGTAGGGATGGCGAGATAATCCATGGCCATGCGTCTCAAAGTCTGCATGTTGGTAGCAGTGCGCCAGTACTCTAGCGCTGTCATGTCATACCACAACCGCTCGAGGGGGTAAGCGTGGTCGGCCGGGGAGCAAGCTCTGCAGCCCGGGCCTGGTACTCGGCCACGCGCTCGCGTACCAGTGTGATCACCTCGCCGGACGAGGGACGCGGCCTCTCCCTTCTCGGCGTGTCAGGATGCAGCTTCTCCCAGTGCTCGTCGTCGAACCACGCCGCCTTCATGGAGGGGTCTAGGAATGTGGTGATCGAGTACTCGTTGCTGGTGATGTAGGCGTACTTCTTCAGATGGCGGAGCGCCGCCACGACCATCGGCTCCAGCGTCGCAGATGGCCCCTTGGCTAGGCGCGCCTCCATGGCGTCGATCAAGCCGTTGTAGTACGGCACCACCATCGACACCGTCGGGTACGCCGCCCCCTCAGCGACCTTGGAAACCTTGGCAAAAGGGCTGAGGAAGGTCTTCAATGCCTGGAAGGTCTCCCAGTCCGCGTCTGTCAGGCACATGCTCTCTACCTTCTTCTTGTCGTCCTTCGACAAGCCCTATCAGCGTGCGGGATTGGTATGGTATGGTTTGGGGATGTGTTGAGAGGGATACGGGTTTAGGGAGCATGTTGGGTATAGGCAACATACAAGCTCGATTATAAGAGTCGATCGATAAACTGAACACACCCTGTCCAACCAACACAACAAAACCCAGGTGTCATACATGGGTAGAGGCAAAGTACACCGTGATGGGGTTCTGCAGAGCAACGGTGTGGTCGACCATGTCGTAGGTGGAACCCCACCTCGTGGGGCTGTCCTGCACCAGCTTCAACGGCTTCTTGTTGTTGTTGGCCTGCGCTTTCAAGGTCTGCTGAAGGCCGAAGAAAGCCGCCGAGCGCTGCGGAGACAATCCAATCAACGTTGCCATGGCTCTCAAGATCTTCAACAACTTGCATATGGTCGCCACCTTCAACGCTGCCTGCACTGCAAGATTGATCACGTGTGCCAAGCACCTGCGCGTGGCACACAGCAGCAGTGGTGGCAATAGGTGGGGGTTGTAGATACACATGGTCAATGCGACCTTCAACATCCACATCTTACCCCACACACCCTCACCCTCTCCCTCCCCCACACACCGACACAGTGTCCTGGGTCTAGGGACTCGACCACACACCCACACACCCAACACATGCACACTCCCACACTTTCCGGAAGTGCATGCGAGAGTTGAAGAAGCCCAAACCACTCCCCTCCTCCGACAACCGCCTGAAGGCGGCAATGCTGCTAGAGGCGTTATCGGTCGTGAGACCAAGACAACGCATCTGCAACCCCCATTGCACCACCGTCTCTTCCACCACATGCGCCATCTCCTCGCCGCCATGACGCCCAAGCATCTCGCGGAACTCTAGCACGGCTGTGCGCAGCTGAAAGTTCTCGTCGATCCAGTGACCCGTCACCACAAGCCATGCCTTGCCGTTGGGTGCCGTCCTCATGTTGATGCTGAACGACACCTTGCATCCCAATTCCCTCTCCTTTGCCATCAGCTCTGCAACAGCGGACTGGAGGGCAGCCTTAGCAAACACCACCGTGTTGCGTGATACCGTCCAGTGAGATGGGATGAAGTTCTTCTTTGCGCAGTTGGTGTTTAGGAGGATCAGCAGCTCTCGAAACTGTAGGGGAACGGGCACAATGAAAGGAAGAGATGGTTTACAAGGCAAGGAAATGTAGTAGAGAGGGAGTGGCAGGTCATCACCATCAGACCTCCATACCATCCCTCAACATCCCTTTAAAACCAACGACACCAAATTGCCCCATTTATCCATACAATAGTAGGCAAGTGAAGACTCACCGCCTCGGACTCCACAACGCGGAAGGGAAGGTCACAGGTGACCACCAGCTTGGTGATCGCCAGCTGTAGCTCCGCCACAGACAGCTTGGTCGTCATGAAGCGCTCAATCCAGCCTGACCCCTGCTCCCCTCTCCCTGCCTTCCCTTTCTTCTTTGGGACATTAGGCCAGCACTTGGCGTGCGGCCAATCCTCGACGTATCCATCCGGCACACCCATGTACCCCCCTCGAGGAAACGTCTCACCAGGTAACTGAACGCGTGGATTGTGGTAACGGTGATACAACACGTGCATGTGCGCTGTGTGGTAGCTCTCAAATTGATGCTCGCCTAGTGTTGGAGTGGATCCCTTCCACGAGATGTCGGAAATGCTCTGGTGCTGCCATTCCCCCTTGGCTCCCGACGCTCCTGCCTCCAGGCCTCACCCTCCCTGTCTCCCCTGATCACCCAACCGCTGACCCCCTGGCCGCTGCTGCTGGGACATCACTACCCGCTTATCTGCTGAATACTGAGTGTTGTGTAATGGTGTTCTCTGGTGATGCCAAAAAAATATCTATAGCACTAATTGCCGACAAGCTGGCTCCCTAGCGTGCTCATGACCACCTGTGGTTGGATTAACAGGATTACATTGGAGCAAATGGGAAACATACAACGAAGCAGCCAGCCCTAGGGTTTCACCACAACTATTTACAATGCGATTCTTCACCCTAGCCTAGCGCTTCTGCCACACACATCACACGGGCGAGGCTCGGGGGGTGCCGAGTCGTATTTACAAACCGCAGGCGGTTTGGAGCTGCATGGGCTCCAGCACGGGCCCTTTGCCAGCTGCACGCTTGGCTTGCATGCTACACTGCTGCTCCCGCCGCCTGTCGGTTGTGCTGTTCTTATACGCGTCAACAGCTCCTCGCCCTGTGCAGGAAGGAAACATGGGTCACACAAATGAAACATAAACCCCCAACCCTCATCCCAACATTCGCATACACCATTCGTGGGCGATATAGTACATTTATGTACAAGGCTCCTCCTTGCCTTAGCCCCCGTCCCTGCCCTTCCTCCGTGTCTCCTCCCCCCTGTGCTTCTGCCTCTGCTGCATCCCTGCTGCTTAACAGCGAACAAAGTCTCTGCGTTGTCCCGGTCATTATGTGGCCCTCCTGGCTTCATAATACCGCGACAGAGATCCTGTCGGTAAAAATCTTGCACTAACGCTTGTAGGCTATCCCAATAGGCCCGAACATCTGAACTTGCCATCCTAGCTTCTTCTTCCCCTTGCTAGTCCCCTTACTACTCTCGGACCCTCCCTCCTCATCCAGAAACGCAGGCGCGATGACACCCTCTCCCAAGGGCTCCCCTGTAAATGTGCATGGATATGCTCCCGGTCTCAATTTGGGAGCCCTCTTCCTCCGCTTCGGCATCCCAATAGACGCTCGCTTCCTCCCCACCTTAACCCCCACACTCCTACCTCCTTCACCCACGTGCTGTGAGGCCGCCTCTATCGCTATCCCTCCACCCTCTCCAACCCCTTCATCCACCCCCTCCCACTCCAATCCATCCAACTCGTCGTCCTCATCATCCCCCCTTCACCACCGCCATGCTTCTCGGGCTCCCACCCCTCCTCACTGTCATCCCCGCTCCCCTCCTCGTCCTCATCCTCCTCCTCCTCCTCCTCGTCCGCACCCTCCTCCTCACTGTCACTATCCGGCTGCGTCTGCCCAGCTAAAAGGGGCCGGGAGCCACTGGATGTCGGGCCAGGAACGGAAATAAACCCCCCAACGAAACAAGCACCGGCTCCAGGAGGACCGTCACCTGCATGGGTCATGGTGGATTAGTAGGTGTACCGCCCTCGCGAATTGGAGCACCTCCTTGATGGCCGGAGGCCATTGATCTACCCTAAACCCTAAACCCGAAGTAAGTGAGAGGTAACGCCGACGCACAACGTCACTACGAATAGCTTCCAGTGTCCCGTAAACACAAACCCTAACTACCTACGTCTAATCTCACGTAGTAATGGCGGCTTGTCCTCCTTGAGCATGGAATGCTCAAAGTCTTAAACTGTAGGTAACATCCATAAACTTCCAAAAATGTATGGCATCTATGTTTTAGTAGTAGGAAACGTCCGCGCAATAACCCTAGGATGATATGTTGTGCCTCTAAAAACGCTAAGACTATGGCGCTTATGGGAGACTTGGGGTTGGCGCTTAGGAAGATATGAGATTGAGCTAAAAAAATAAGCTCGATCTCAATTTGGCCGCGACCTAAATTTGGTCGCGGCCAAATTCGTCGACAAAAATTTTGGTGTTCGTCGTAGGCTCGCGTCAAACAAGAACCCAGCCGGGCCGGACGAACGGCAAACATGTTCGCCGCGAACATTTTAGGCAAAAAAAAAAAAAACTTGTTCGGTTCGCCTCAAATATGTTCGAGGCAACCGAACAGGCGTTCGTGTTCTTGCTCAACCCTAGGCGCTGGAGACAGTAGAGGAGGAGTAAGACGAGTGGAAGACGGAAGATTGAGAACCTGGTGAAGCGCCGAGCAAGGTGGTGGCAGCGACGACTCCGGCTGAGGCCAGAAAAACGGTCGTCGCTGCACAGGCTGCGCAACACCCCCAGCACAAAAACCGCCAGTACCCCCAGCTCCAGTACCTCCAACACCACGGGCAGCAGTGCCTACAGCTTTAGCACCTCCAGCACCAGCAGGCCCAGCCCCAGTACTTGTAGTACCAGAACCCCCAGCACCTCGAGCTCCCGAGTCTCCGGCTCCAGTACCTCCAGCACCAGCAGCCTTAACACCTCCTGCTCCTGTACCTCCTGCGCCTCCAGCTCGAGAGTCAGCAACCGCAGACGCAGTACCTCCAGAAGCAGCACCCCCACGCTCAACACCCCCAGAACCAGCACCTGCAGAGTCGGCACGGCGTCCGACGACCCACTCACGCAACTGCTGCGGTGAGAGAGTCTCCAGCGGACGTGACGGCAGCTGCTACTCACCTCTAGGTGCAGCACCTTCAGACTCAACACCCCTAGGCTCAGCACCTCCAAAGCCTACACCTCCAGCGCCACCACCTCCAGCTGCACCGGAGTCCACAGCAACAGGCAGCGGAGGCGGCGAAGACGGCCGAGGCGGAAAACCAGGAGGGGTCTCCAAGCGCTGGGAGCGGCGAGAGGCCGCAGTGTCGTCAGCAGCAGGGTCACCCCCCTCATCTGGGCCAGAGGAGACCTCCAAAGGCTCAACCAAGGGGGGTGGTGTGACCTGAGACACACCTGAGGGAGCAGGATGCGAGGGAGGGTGGGGGTCTACCGGTGGGTAACCTGGAACCAGGAAGAGGGGCGGGGGGTGTGAGGATCTAGGATCGAGCTCAGAAAAGAGAGTTTGAATTGAATGATCACCTGGGTACAACACGAGGCTATATATAGGCTCGACACAAGGGGCAGTAACCAGGTGCTACGCGAAGGTTCTGGGGGTCGCGAAGCGTCCCGAACAGACCCTTCCCGAATTCGGTAGAAGGCAATTCGGTGGCAACCGAATAGCCCAGAATTCGGTGTACGCAACCTAGCTCGGTGCTATAACTATAATAAAATATAGGAAAGCACCTAGCCTAGGAATTCAAGCAATTCATGCATGCATAAAATAAACCTAAGCTAGAAGTAGCATAATAAAGTAAAGGCAAGCATGCATAGCTGGCATAAGCCGTCGTACTCTCACACGTCCCCCCCTCAAAGCTGGGTGGCGTGAGATACACCCTGCTTGACAAGATAGTCCTTGAGAGCACGGCGTGCGTTGCCCATATCAGCTTCTGCAACCCAACTGTCCTCAGTGGGGTCGTATCCCTTCCAGCGTATCAGGAACTCGAGGGTCTTGCCGCCGCGGCGCCGATGAGTGAGAACGCGCTCGATCTCGTACTCTGGTTCATCCTGCACAAGAACAGGTGGAGGTGGCGGTAGCTGCCGTCCCTGGAACTGTTGGTTGGGGTCCTTGTAGGGTTTCAGTAGCTGAACATGGAAAGCATTGTGAAGCTTCCACGTATCTGGTAAGCGCAAGCGGAATGTAACTGGTGTCACTTGTGCCTCCACGAGAAAAGGACCACAGAAGCGAGGCCGGAGTTTGGATGGCAGGTGAGACAGGTTCAAGTTGCGCGTGTCGAGAAGCACCTGATCTCCGACTGCTACTGAGTGATCTCGTCGCTGGCGATCGGCATACTGCTTCTGGGAGTTCTGCATCGTGGTGAGACGCCGCTGAGTCTTCTCCCATAGCTGCTGCATGGTGGTGACGAAGTCGTGTGCGGCTTGGACGTGTGCCAGTGTGGTTGGCTGCTGTGGTGTGAGTGGTTCCCGTCCGTAACACAGGAAGAAAGGGGTTTTCCCTGTGGCCGCATGTGAGGCGTTGTTGTAAGCGAACTCTAAGGTCGGTAACTGTGTGTCCTAGTGGCTGATGTCGTCTTTGCAAGCTGTACGCAGTAACTGTTCAACCACCTGATTGAGTCGCTCCGTCTGTCCGTCAGTCTGGGGATGGTATGCTGAAGACATGGCAAGCTTGGTCCCCAGCAGTCCCATAAGCTCCTTCCAGAACTTACTTGTGAATTTTGGGTCTCTGTCTGAGATAAGTGTAGCGGGGATGCCGTGGATGGTGATGATGCGGTCGAAGAAGAGGCGAGCAGTTGCTTCAGCTGTAGCTGTGGCGTTGGTCGGTATGAAATGACCCATTTTGGAGAACTTATCGATTACTACGAGGATGGAATCGTGTCCCCGTGAGGTCAAGGGCAGTCCTGTGATGAGTCGAGACTAACGACCTGCCATGGCTGCTCCGGTACGGGTAGAGGTTGAAGTAACCCTGCTTTTTTCTGCTTGCTACTCTTCATCCGCTGGCACGTGTCGCATGAGGTGACGAACTGCTGCACGTCTGCTGCCATCCGGGGCCAGTAGTAATACTTCGCTATTCCCACTAACGTCTTGTTGCTCCCGAAATGTCCCGCGTAAGGTACGTCATGAAATTCCTCTAGAAGGATCTGCCGTAGCGGGGCGTAGTTCGGTACCCAAATCTTTCCTGAACCCTTCCTTACCGCTAAGTCTTTCTCCCACTGTAACAGCTTCTGTTTCTCTGCCGTTGCGATCTCGCCGTCCACGGAGTACCCATGTTGGAATAGACCCTTGAGCAGAGGGTTCATCCCGTCGAGCTGGATGCCTGCTACATGACCGGGGCAGCTCAACGCGTCAGCTTTGTTGTGGAGCCCGG